GGGGCCCATGGACCCTAGCTCAGTCCCTGCTGCTCCATCTCACTCACCCCCACATTCCCCAGTTCTCCCCCAGGGGGCGGCGAGTTGTATGGGCCCACAGTGCCCGGGCTCCAGCAATATTCAGGGCCTGGGGGCCCAGCTCCAACAATGTTTGGGGCCGGGTCTCTCCCCCGGCCCCACTTGCTGCCCCCCTGCACCCCTCCCCCCCACACCGGGCCCCAGAGCACCCCTGCCTCTCCCCTGCAGCTCCAGGCTGACTCTACTCTGCCGGCTCCCAGAATCAACTGCTGCTGCAGGGTCCTAGTGCCCCCGTCCACAAGTGGCAGGGCAGGCTGCCCTTCCCCTGCCCTTCTGCCTTGGACCCTTCCCTTTTCCGGCAGGACCCTCCACCAACACAGGGGGTCTCCCCACCCGTGCTCCTGCCCCACGCTGGGCAAGGGGCAGCCCCATCCCCCACCCCCAATGAGGCTACAGTGAGGGGCAGCAGCAGGGGAGTAGGTGCACATGTCATGGACCCCCCCCCCCCGGCACCCACCACAGGGGAGTCGAGGGGGCTTCTTCGACCTGAGAGGGGTCCTAGGAGCACATGCAGTGACAGTGGTGTGGGGTGAGTGTGCTGCCAGGGGGAGAGGGGGGCCCCTGCCCCAGAGCTCACTGCTGCTGGTGCGGAGAGGGCTGGGGGAAGTTCTCCTCTGTCTGCACCTCAAACTCATCCCTAGCCCTGCCCCACCCCAGAGCCCGCACCCCCAGCCAGATTCCTCACCACCCCCCCCCGCACCCAACCCTCTGCCCTAGCCCTGAGCCCCCTCCTGCATCATGAACCCCTCATCCCCAGCCCCACCCACAGCCCTCACCCCACACCCCAACCTTCTGCCCTAGCCATGAGCCCCCTTCCACACCTCAAACCCCTCATCCCCAGCCCAACTCCACAGCCCTCACCCCTGCACCCCCTCCCATCCCCAAACTCCCTCCCAGAGCCTGCACCCCCTCTCCCTTCCCACACACCTCCTCCTGCACCCAAACTCCATCCCAGAGACTGCACCCCTCACCCCCAGCCCAGAGCCTGCACCCAAACTCCATCCCAGAGACTGCACCCCTCACCCCCTCCTGCACATGCACCCCCTGCCCCAGCCCGGAGCCTGCAACCAAACTCGGTCCCAGAGCCTGCACCCCACCCCCTTCCCACAAACCCTCTCCTGCCCCCAAACTCCCTCCC